AAAGGAGTTAAAATCTAACCATTTTTTCGGGATTGTTGAAAAAATCGTTCATTTTCTTCAAGAAATCGTCATAGGGAATCGCTGAAAGAGAGAGTTTTTCTATATTGAAGAGTGAAAATGAACTAAAAAAACGGTTTTATACTTTCTTTTTTTTGGAAAATCGCAGGTGGAACATGCATTTCGCAGATGGACTATTCCATCTGCGAAAGTTTAAGTGCCTAAAGCACAGTTGTGCTTTAAGCGCTTGTATCTTCGCAAATGGAAGGGCAAAATCGCAGATGGGTCATTTCTATCTGTGATTTAAGTGGTTATTTTTGCATTTTTTTTGGCTAAATTTGTAAAGTCATTAGTAAAGTTGGCTAATTTTGTAATTAGCTCTAATAATATAATGTTTAAATAATAAAGTTAATAAATATGATGTAATTGGCTAATTTTGTAATTAACTCTAATAATATAATGTTTAAATAATAAAGTTAATAATAATGATGTAATGTTTAAATAATAAAGTTAATGAAATGATTAGCTTGTAACAAAATAATAGATAAAAGATAGTTAAATGATAATGATGAAAATAATAAAGTATAAAGTGTAGTATAATAAATTATAGATTAAGGTCTGTAATAAATTATAGACTAAGGTCTAGTATCATGTTAGAGTGAAGTGTTTATAATAACACCCTTTAAAAAAATATGATTTATTCTTATTTTTAGCAAAAAAAAAAATAAAAGAAATGGAAAAAAGTAAATAGAAAAAAGAAGAGATAAGATAAGAAAAGAAATTCTTCCAAATTGGAATGAAAATATTAGAATTTTTTCTAAATTGGAAAGAAAAATAAAAGAGAAAGTCCGAAACTCCTTTAATAGAAATCATTTCATTTTTTTTTCTATTTTTCTTCTTTAATGAAACTTCTGAACAATTTTTTTTATCATTTCTATCAATTTACTTCTTTTATTTCGTTAAGTTGAACTTGGAAACAAAGTTTCGGTTTGAATACTACACACTACAGTTTGGGAGCTCATAACAATTTGTATCTAATCACTCAGCTACCTATATCTACATCTTTAATAAATGAATCTTTTTTGACATGTGGCATCTCATTATCATATCTACATATCAAAGTTAAATTACATGTATACCCTCTACCTATTTAAAATATGTAACACTGTAAATTTTCAAACAAAATTTTCATTTAAAAATCACATAATTCTCATAACACGTTTCACGAAAATCCCATTTAATTCATTTACAAAACACAACTCTATAATTATTTAATAATTATCCAGGATCCTCCAAAACATAACTCCTTCTCTGGTGTGTACAATCGAGCTGGCGTCTTCCCGCGATTGTGAGTAAAACCTAAAACACATAACACGGTAAGCATGAAGCTTAGTGTGTTCCCCAAAATACCACACACAAATAGTTAGCCACTCGAGGCTAAAGCTCTGTAAGACCCTCCAGTCAATGTGTCTCAGTAGGACCCTCCAGTCCCACAACTCATTGGACCCTCCGATCCGGTCTGGTTGGGACCCTCCAGTCCCATGGTTCGTTGGACCCTCTGGTCCGGTCTGGTTGAGAACCATCCGGTCTCATAGTTCGTCGGACCCTCCAGTCCGGTCTAAATATCACATAATATAGCATATAACACATATATCACATAGAATATGCATAACTCAAGCAAGCACGTAAGACCCTCTGTTCACACATAATTACCACTCTAGGTAAGGTATAGTGAGAAGACTCACCTCGCAAGTAGGTGAGCAAATAACCTCACACTCGGATCTCGAACTAGCCTCCGCCTAACACAAAGGATGAATATCTCTAATTAATACTCTTTTCACGAATCAAATAACTGAAGGCTATTCTTTCTCTCTCTAACTCTTTGAAGTGGATAAAAGACAATTTTACCCCTCCATGTTCTCTATTACTCATGTTGACCAAAACTCCAAAGTCAACAGAAGTCAAACTCGAGTCAATAGTCCATATTTGACCCTACTCGTCGAGTGCACTCTTGCAGCTCGTCGAGTCCCCTTTTATCCTCAAAAGTCTTAAAAAGTATAGCTCAACTCATTGAGTTGACCCCCAACTCGCCGAGTTATCGCACGATCAACCCATCAGGACAAACTCTCACCGACTCGTCGAGTCAGGCCATGGACTCGGTGAGTCCCTTCGATCAAATTCCTCATTCAAACGATTTAAGACAGATCCATCACTCCAAACACCATATCTACCATCCTAAGGGTCGATTGTCACGTAAAGTTGTAAGCTTTACGTTTAAACATGGCATATAAGACTCATAATGCCAAAACATGCTCCCATAAGGGCTAGATGCACAAAACCTAGACTTTAGCTTAATAAAGCTTGGATCTTTGGCCTCTCAAGTCCTTCTACAATCCAGATCTAAGGTTTCATCCTCATGATACGCTCAAATAACTCATTGCCAAGAATGGTTGGGAGAAAACCCTCAAACTCTCCCTAAACTAAGATCTTACAAAGGAAAGGTCAAGATAGGAGCTTTTTACCTTTGCACTGAAGCTAACCACTAGAGAACTCTAGATCTACAACCCATCCTCAATCAAACACACCAAGCTTTCCAAATCTCCTTCAAAGGATGCACAAAACCACTCAACTTAGCTCCCCACTCACTCTCTAGCTCTAATGGAGATTAGGGTTTTCTCTCAGGGGTGTAGGGTAATTGGTGAGGCGTAAATGGGGGCATAAGTTCCCTTATATAGGCCCCAACCCCGGGAAATTAGGGTTTCTCTGCCCAGAACCTACTCGGCGAGTTGGTTCTCTAACTCATCGAGTCCACTCATTAAATCCATGCGAGTAACTCGAATCGAATCGGCGAGTTGGACCCTTAACTCATCGAGTCTCTCCATAATCTTCAAGATTAAAATACACAATAATGTACGTGAAAATCTGGGTGTTACAAAATAAATTTAGTTTTAATTTTAAAATTATTTTTCCTGCGTATGCTTGTATCATTTATTGCTCTATCATTTATCCCCCAATTTCGATATTTCCATACCCATCTCCTCAAATCCTGCTAATCTTCACTGAATTAAAATATTATGTTTTGCTTCTTTATAGACGGGAAATCGTATATACCCCATTCTCACCCTCTTTTCTCTTTAACCCTAGACGAACCGCCCACAACCAGACCTCACATTGTCGCTTTGTCTATATCATCCTCCACTCTATTCACCATTTAATTCCTTTTTCTCAGTCGCTTGACACTCCCGGAGGAACTATATGTCGTTTGTTTTTCCAATGATGTCATCATGTTTCTTCCCCTACCATCGAGTGTAATTGATGGTGATATCAAGGGCACACACGTCTTTGAGGTACAAGAAATTAGCATCACCTTCCATGAAAGGTGTTTCTTGAGCCGGTTGTCACCCACCTTTGCAACACCTTAAAAGTTGGTTCTTGCCATGTGCTAAAAAATGTGAACTTTTTTTTTCGATTGTAATGTATTTCACACAATTGTGCATCCTAGCCTCTTTCATCGTTATTTCTTCATGCACACACTCCACAAGTAACCTCTTATCAGGTAAGTTAATTTTTTTTCACTACCTTATTTGGGTTATGTATCCATATTGTTGTATTATAAAATTTGATTTAATACGTCTATTTGGAACAGAATATCATCAACTCTCATATCATCAAATCAAATCACATCTTGGTATCATTAGCGTTTTCATTACTACATTCCATGTGTTCGATAGAATTATATACTAATAAGAATTGTTAGTATGATCTTCAAGTGATAGTATTGAAGTTCTATTCTTATTAAATCTTTTTATATTAATATGCATGAGGGCGTGATAGGTTTTATTTAACAGACTGATGTTATTTAATTGATTAGTTCTTAAATCGATTTAACATTATGTTGATTCTTCTATTTTAAGGACGGTAAGACCAAAGTTATAATTCCTGTCTCTTTTGGCCTTTCATCAAGTAATGCTTTTTGTCCTATTTTGTGTATTTTTTTTTTAATGAAATGTATGAAAAGTTCTTGTTTTGTGGTGTTATATAAATATTTTTGAACCTCATGCATTTAGATTAATTAAGACCAACAAGGTAGAAACACCAGCCGGTAGGTAGCTACATGACCTAATGCACCTTTTATTAGAAAATTTTGAAAGACTACATTATTGTTATTGTATATTTGCATTAGATGGATAGAAAAGTGTCAAGATGTATGACATGTTCATGAAAGGGTGTCGTCCAAGATGAATTAGATGAAATCTCAATTCCAACAGGTATTTATTTGTATTCCTCATGCACACTCCTATTTTTCTTCGACCAAGTTTTACTTACTTTTCTACGTGTATTTGTTACACATTTTGTATGTTCTTCTGTGTTACATGTTCGTTAAATCCATTCTAATTGAGATTTAATGAAATCATTAATTTACTTTTATGTTATTATTCAGCTGTGGTAGGTTCTTTGAATCTCCGTTTATATAAAATGGTTTATATTAAATGACAATACAAAACTTATATCTTATTATTTTAATAAAATTTTATAAATCTCTTATCCGTAGTTTCCACGGGTTGTAACCTAGTCTGATGTATATTAGAAATCGTACGTGAATAAATGTTAAGCATATTTTTGGTTTTAGAAATATTCGACTAAATCAGGTTATCTTAATAAGACGTAGAGTTTTTATTTATTATTTATTATTTATTATTATTATTATTATTTTGTAATTTTGGTGCTGTTTGTAAAAACTTTATAAAAATAAGATTGTTTATTTATTTATTTTTATTTTTTGTAAAAATATAATTTTTTTGAAAGAAGAAAAATGACCGCAACAAGCATGTTTTGGATATCAAATCTTTGGCACGTGAATAACTTAACTTGCACTTGATTACGTTTATGTTTGTGGCTATATTAATAAAATTAGAGCTAATAAAAAGTTTAACAGATTAAGTGAACTAACTTAGAAGCAAACAATCTAACAAGTTGTACTATTTCTTTTTGCCGGTATGTTTCTATTGGGATTTGGGAATAATAAACATGGAGATCGTCCCAATTTGCTTTTGGATCTTAACAGGTTTCCATGCATCCCCAAGGACCTCATTGCAGTTTTCCATTCTACTCTTCCATCCCAAGAACATCTCGCGCCATCTTTTTTGGATTACCCAATTCGTTGAAAACAACCATCTTTCCGGAAATACTAATTAAACAAGAAGTCACAAGTTGGTTATACATATTAATATCCAATGATCCTACAAATAGTAAATCACCTATTTTAGTTCTTATTACCTCCATTCCTCTGAAGAATCAAGAATGGTGATGCTAACAATGGTGATTTTGCTGGTAAACGCCGCTTGTGTGGTGGCAATCCAGTGTCCAGATTGCGGGAAGACTCCAGTCCCATATCCCCTCAGTACAACACCAACATGTGGCCACCAATCATACAAAATTCGATGTGAAATGGGTGTCTTAAAGTTTGATACAATCAATAACACTTACCCGATCATATCAATCTCCCCGGAAAACCAACGCCTGCTGATCGGACAATCTCATTTACTACCAAATACCTGCGTCATGGCCGATTTTGTTACCCAAGGGATTCAGCTCGACACTTCTTTACCCTTCACCATCGCCCTCACCAACACTGTGTTCTTCTTCAACTGTACAGATGCAATGGGGACAGTTATATTAGATTGCACGCCGACAAACATCTGCCAAGCTTACCAGAACTTCTCACCTCAGATGTCCATGTGCCGGAGAGCTCCGCCTTGTTGTTCCTTCAGAAAAGGAAGCTCAACGAGCCTGTTTTCCATTCCGCTTAATATGGAAAAATGCAAGGCTTATTCAAGCTTCGTGAATCTAAACATCTCGATGCCAGTTAGCAAGTGGCCGGATCCTAGCGTGGAGTTGATGTGGGCGCCACCACCGGAGCCACCATGTTCGTCGGAGGGGCATTGTGACTCCACCTCTACTTGTAAGGACGCCCGTGACGGCAATGGCACACGAAGGTGTTTCTGTAAACCTAAATTTCGTTGGAACGCAAACTCCGGCCAGTGTGCTGAAGGTAATATTATATTAATTAATTAATTAATAATCTTTTTCTATAGGAAAACAAATTAACTTTGGATCAATTTGTTGCAGATCGCAAAAAGGTCAGAGCAAAACGGAACCTACTTCTCGCGACTGCAATTTGCAGCGGTGTGACGATATTTATAACAGTTGTATTTGCAACTTCAGTGTTCATCCGCAGACAAAAAATCAAAATCGCACGACAACGACTTGCTCGTGAGCGCCAAGAGATTGTAAGGCCGAGTGGCGGTGGAAAATCATCCAAGATTTTCTCCAGTAAAGAGATCAAGAAGGCGACAAACAACTTCTCCCCCACCGGTCTTCTAGGTGCCGGAGGTTTTGGTGAAGTGTACAAAGGGGTGTTGGACGACGGCACACCGGTGGCTGTAAAATGTGCAAAACTCGGGAACACCAAAAGCATCGATCAAGTCCTGAATGAGGTTCGAATCTTATGTCAAGTCAACCATAAGAACCTGGTACACCTTCTCGGTTGTTGTGTAGAACTTAAACAACCATTTTTAGTATACGAATATATTACAAATGGAAGTCTTCATGACCACTTACATGATCGAAATAAACATCCTTTAACATGGAGTCAACGGTTAGCCATTGCTCATGACACTGCAGAAGGGCTTTCATATCTTCATTTTTCTGCATCTCCCCCGATCTACCATCGTGATATAAAATCTAGTAATATTTTGCTAGATGAACGGATGAGAGCAAAAGTTGCCGATTTTGGTTTGTCAAGACTAGCTCAATCGGATATGACACATGTCACAACTTGTGCCCAAGGTACATTGGGATATCTGGACCCAGATTATTATTGGAATTATCAGTTAACTGATAAGAGTGATGTGTATAGTTTTGGAGTATTATTGTTGGAAATATTGACGTGTCAAAGAGCAATAGACTTTGGTCGACCGACAGATGATGTAAACTTGGTTGCATATGTTAAAAGAATCGTGAACGAGGAAAGATTGGTGGATGTTATTGACCCGTCTCTCAAGATACATGCAACAACATTGGAGATAGATGCTATGAAATCGTTAGGGTTTCTTGCAATCAGTTGCTTGGAGGAACGAAGAGAAAACCGACCTTCTATGAAGGAAGCATCCGAAGAGATAGAATATATCATGGGTATTGTAGCGACCACATCGGATCCTCATGGTATGGACATTTAAGTCTCATCATGCTATTGTCATTTGTACATTATGTATCAAAAGTCGTATTATGTGCATAAGATTTGTGCGTTACACACACATATATATTTTATGTTTTAGGGAAGATGAACATTATTTGCCGACATTCAATATTTCATAACAAATTTGTTGTGGTAGATGATAATTAAGCACATGGACATAATATCAGCGACCATTATATAGTTAAATTTATATAACAAAGTCAATAAAACCAAATCATACGATGATACAACTACTTGATATAACTCCAAATATCCTTTTGGATCTTATTCCAAAATGAAAGCATATACACTTTTCAAACTTTTCAAATATGGTGGCTAAATCAACTTTTGATATCATGCTCATGGTTGCACTAATTCTAATGCATGTTAGTTGTGGCACCTTGGTTACTTGTTGCCTTGACTATGACTTCACACAAGCTTAATACCCCCTTAGTGTTGTGGATATGTCTAATAACATAACAAATTTTTAATTGTAACATCCGGTCCTTGCAGGTTATTCCCTTTCTTTGATTATCAATTTTAAATGTGGAGTTTTGATCTACACATGGCGTAGATATCCTTCTACGTGTTACGTAGATGGAAAACTTGGAGGCAGGGTTTAATGACTTACGTAATGTGTAAGTCTGAATACGCAGCATGTACTTAGACAGATCCCAAACCCTAAATTTGGGGTTTTGAGCCCTATTTAAAAGCTCTAACACTCTTGAGGCCTTCTATCATCAACCTCCATTCCCTTTAAGTAACCACCTTGAAACCCTAATCTTCATTTGAGAGTTTTTGAGTTATTTGAGTGTTTTGTGTTCATCTTTGAAGGAAGAAGTCCATTGGAGAGCACTTGGAGAGCTTCAAGCCTTGTGGATATAGGATTTACATCTCATAAGCATTCTCCAGGAGGTATAAAGTTCAGAACTTGATGAATATCTTGATAGATCTTGTTAGCTTTTAGGTTTATATCCCTTTTTGGCCCATATTTTTGGTCTACTTTGGTACGAGTTACTCTAAACCTTATGAGTAGCCTTTTCAGATGTTTTTGTGAGCATGGAGACATAGAAATGCAATCTTGGCCCTTTCTTTCCAACCATGCATGAGTTATGGAGCTTGGGATTGTGGTGATAAGTTGGGGTTTTCGGATTTAGACATTTTCTAGCCATATAAAGACATAAAGTTGGAAACTTTACGATTTAGAATGATCTTTAGGGTTAGATCTGAGTATTGGGTGAAAGGTCTTAAGGAAATAATTGCTTAATTGAGAGTTTAGATTCAACATGAGTACGTAGGGTGTACTAAAGGTTACACAGATGAGTACGTAGGGTGTACTAAAGGTTACACAACGTGTAACCTAGTTGAACCTCGTATTCTAGGATGAGACTTTATGCCATGTGTAAAGATGGAGTACGTTGAGCATACTCAGTCTGATGTGGACCTTTGACTTTTGACTGTTGACAGTTGACCGAGTTTGACGTCAGGTCATTTGGGGTAATTTGAATTGTAGATTGAGACGGGATCTCTATGTATTATATAGGTGATCTATAGAGATAGTGTTCAGAGCAGTGATCAGTTTAGTTATTTTCCAATTTGTGAGGTGAGTTTTCATCACTATACTTGTGAGTCAAAGGCACCAATGCTGACCCACTAGGTTGTATGATGTATCCTGGTATATAGGATGTTGCTATGTTGTTGTAACGCCCTGTTCCGAATTGACTCATAGTATGAGGCTGTGGGTCGAAGGTCGATCATTATAAGGATTATGGCTTTTGAGAAGGTAAGATCTAGGCCTATTTGGGTGTGGGTGATGTATTAGAAGTGATATGGGTTTTCGGTTCGTGTTTTGGAGCCTAGGGGTATTTCGGTAAAGTGGTAGTTCAGGCTTTTGTGGAAAATGAATTTTTGGTTCGTAAGGTATTAAGAAAGGTAGGAGTTAATAGAAGTGTAAGGCTTCTCGTTACCTTTCTGTGGATATAAGGATCGTCGGGATCGGGCTTAGAATGAAGAAGTTATGGCATTCGGAAGTTTCGTGGTTTTCAGGCTTAGCCGAGTACACGGGGCGTACATAAAGAGTACGCAGGGCATACTAGTGAAGAAGGCAGTACATGGGGTGTACCTTGGAGTACGTTAGGCGTACTAACCAGGATGGTCGTGGATGTTCTTCGAGTACGCTGGGCGTACCATAATTACGTTGGGTGTACGCCAGTCAGATCAGAACCCTATTTTAGGGTCTCGGACCCTATTTAAGCCCCTTATCTCATAACCTAACCCTAATATCTTCAGCCTCCACCCTCTAAAATCGTAGAAATTGTCATATATCATTCATGGTGACATTTTGCGCTTATAGAATCCATTTTTTGGGACGTTGGGCCATTTTCAAGAAGATGGAGGTTGTTGCAAAAATAGGAATCAAGGAGGAGCTATGGATCTGGCTTTTGGGACTCATTCTTAGCTTGATGAAGGTATAAAGCTTTGAAGTTAATCATTCATCTCTTAGATCTACCATTTGTGAGTTTTTGTTCATTTTTCTCCCAAGTATGAGATCTAGTGGTCTTGATTTCATTCCACAAGCTTTGAGTTGCCCCTCTTAGTGTTTCTGAGGTTAAAGGTCCATAAAGTTGGCACCTTTAGAGTTTAAGACCATTTGTGTTGGATTTTGAGCCATTTCCATGAAAGTAAAATGTTATTTGTTCTTTTTGGGGGCATGCAAAGTCACCAAGTCAGTGACTTTATTGGTTTAGACATTATGTAGGACTCAGAACTGTGGGTTGGACTTATGACTTAAAGCATTTAGTGCTTAATGGAAAAAGTGAGACTAGAGGGTAGTACGTTGGGCGTACAAGCCAGTACGCACAACGTACAAGCCATTAAGCGAGTACGCGCACGTATTGCTAAGTACGCCCTACGTACTCAGCTATGTTGGGTTTCAGACTTTGGGCTTCGGGTTTAGGCCATCTGTTTGGGGCCTAAATTCTTGGGCCTTAATGGACCATCAAAGTTCGGGTCATTTGAGAGGCCAACAGGACGGATCCAGTGCAACGCTTGTGGAAACTGCATGATGGAGGTTCGTTCCAAGGATTTGGATTGTCATAGGGATCAGAAAGAAGAGTTACAGCATGTCCTCAGGGCAGACAAGGTAACACGGGAGGAGGTGGCCGGGATTCCTTCAGTTGGATATCAGGAATTTGCATCATTTTGGACTTGTGATAAGTTGGATCTCAGGTCGGTTCTCTTCTATAGTTTGAGTTAGCAAGGGTATCAGATTCTAGTCAGCATGTCGAGGAATCTTTGAGGAAATCTTCAGATGGACGTATCTCGCAGAGCGGGTTCCGCATTTATCGTGATTTCTCCGAGTCATTGTCGGAATCTATTCAGTGATCTAAATTGCTACAGGTGTAGCAAGTTTGGCCACGTCAACAGGGACTGCCCATAGGGGGTAAGTCCGTCATATTGTCGTTGTGATCAGGTAGGTGACAAAGAGGTTGACCACCTGACGATCAGGGAGGAGCAGTGAGTGCAACTGCTCCAGTTATCTTGGAGTTGGTTCAAGGGCTTGTACGAGGGAGTTATGACTAGTTTTCAGTAGCCTTAGTATTTTTTTTGGAAGAGCAATCGAGATTACCAAAGGAATAGAGAATTGTTGTTGAGGTTTTGGTTAGACCATCCATCCTTTAGACTACGAGATCTGAGTGTGATATCATTTTTAAGCATCTGAAACCATTTATGTGGTTGGGATTCGAGAAATGCTAGCTGGTTTTCGAAAGTTGTGTTGTTTTGGGAAGGGTTACTTATGGTACACTAGCTTGGTAAGCACCGATCGTCGGCAGATTGATCATTTGAACATAAGAAGGATTGAGAATTCTTCAATTTTCACATACCAAGCAGATTTAGTTGAATCTAAGTGGGGGAGAATCGCACAAGTGTTCAGAACAGGGTCAGGTATGAGACAGGGATGGGTTTCTCATCCTCATCGAGGAAAATAGCGGCCCGAGTGGCTACTTGGTTTGAGGGTTGTGTGAATTGGGAGTTCGGTAAAACTCCCCAGCGTGTGAATCACGTCTTCCTTAGGTTGATAGCAGAATTTGGGAAAGTAGGTCAGGGCTCCAGTCATGAATTGAGTTCAATTCAGGTGTTCGGTCGAGTGCGTGCTCGACTCTGTGTGTGTTTCAAATTGATAGATTAGGGGTAAGGCATTGGGCTACAGTTGAGTTAGGATAAAAGTGTTGTAAGACTACGGGGGAGCTGTAGCATTCACTAATGGTTAGTTAGGATGAAAGTGTTGCAAGACTACGGGGGAGTTGTAGCATTCACTAATGGTTAGTAGGGTGAAAGTGTTGAAAGACTACGGGGGATTCGTAGCATTCACTAGTAGTCAGATAGTGTGGAAAGTGTTGTAAGACTATGGGGGGAGCTGTATAATTCACAAGCAGTCAGATAGTGCAAGAAGTGTAGAAAGAGTGCAGAGTAGCTGCGACATTCACAGATTCGTTCGGATGACTTAGGCCAGTGTGGTCCAGCTCGCAAGGTTGTGATTAGGTCACAACATAATTGGAATATGGGAATGGTAGGTCGAAAGAGACCGGGTATGATGTAAGACTACAATTATTCTGGTAGCATTCAGCTTTTTGTGTGTCGGATTCAGTGGCGATAGGTTGTCAGCCTATCATGATCGGATGAATCAAAGGATTGAAGGAACCATGAATGGCGGTATAGATAGGGCAGTTATTTTCAGACGAGGTATCTTTTGGAGGTCATGTGGGACTTCTGTGCGTGTGATGCTGGCTCATCAATCGGGTAGGTGTCCAGTGTTCCGGATAATTGGCATACATGTTGGGACCAGGGAGGTCCCGGTTGTTCCTCAGGAAGGCAACTATGTGGCAGCAAGATAAGTTGGAGTGATTTCAGTGATTTGGGGTTCAGGTGTGGAGTTGCCTGTCATTCGGGGTAATACTAAGTTGTTTGCAGTTGGACTAAATAATCTCAGAGTGGTTGATC